TGATTGCTTAGAAGCTTTGGCTTTAGGAAGCATCTCAGAAGGACTTTAAATACTGCTTACAATGAGGTTTTACTATTATTTTTAGATTCAGTGAATGATTGTATGATGCTGGCTCTTTGTAACTGACCAGAAACTGTTTCTAACCACTTACATTCAAGGTCATGAACATAATCCCGGTATGTCTACACAGCAAAGTTATTTCAAAATAACAGCCATTATTTCGAAATAACTTTCTTAGCATCTACACAAGCCAACTACTATTTTGAAATTAATTCAAAATAGAGGAGGGCTTATTTCAAAATTGGTAAACCTCATTCCACGAGGAATAGCGCCAATTTCGAAATTGCTAGTTCGAAATAAGCACTGTGTAGACGCTTATTTTGAAATAGGGGGTCTCCAGCCATTTCCAGAGTTCTGTGCTGGCTACCCTGGCCACAAGGTAACTTCTTACCTGATGCTCTGTCGGAACCAGTTCCAGCTGGCCTTAAATGCGATTCAGCGTCCAATCAGTGCGGATGTGCTATTTCAAAATGGCAAAAAGCTATTTCGAAATGCATTTTGTGGGTAGACGCATTATTTCGAAATAAGATATTTTGAAATAACTATTTCAAAATTAGATATTTCGAAATAACACTGTAATGTAGATGTACCCGCCCTCTGCAACACTTTCCGAAAAATCCTGAGAGAACAGAACAGAGCTGAGGAGCAAGAAAGAGGATTGTCATAGGGGTCATGGGTAATTTACACCCCTCACCTCTTTCAATGAACATGGCTGAAGTAATTGGTACACTCAGCTGTCTCTCAGTGCAGCCCCAGTGTTGGCACTGTTCACCCATTTGTGATACCAGCACCACCCTGACCCAGCTGCAGTCATTGTCTGTGGTAGCTCGTAACGTGCCAAATATCGAGCAACCCTCTGTTGGGGAGAGGATGAAGCTCATGAGAGAATGAGGAGAAGACTGGATGAGGCTGGGCATGTCTGGATTCAGTCAATGCTAGCCAGGCAATGCACTTCAGCTTCTCCTGAAGGGATTCCTGGGGGTCAGAGCGTATCTCTGGGAGCATTTTGTAGGGGAGCCACCTGGTGTGTTTCACTGTCCCATGGAGTGGCACCTAGACCACCGCACCAGACAAGACCAAGAGATTTTTATAGCCTGAGCTAAAAGCCTGGTGGCTTTATAGCTCAAGCTGTAGCAGCTCCTATACTAAGCTTCAGGGATCCTGGGTTCAAGTCTGTTTGGTGGTGGTTACACCTAGAACCCCTTCTTTATTGAATTTACACTTGTAAATCAGGAGTGAAGCCGCTGAAGGCAATGTTACTGAATTAAGTGTGGGACACTGGCCATGTGTTTACAGCTGTCACACTAAGAAGGGCCACTTTCAGGAGTGGAGGGCTTGAAAGGGTGCCTGTGGGAAGCTCACCATTGTAAACTCGCACCGTGTTCAGTTAGGCTGTGGACTACCCAAGAAAAAATACCAGTGGGTCCAAGAGCTGAGCAGGAGCCAAAGAGGGACTGGATATTTTCATGGGTAACCAGGAAACACAATTACAGTAGTGAGACCTGCATTTAAAAAAGTCTAGGAAGAGTCTTCCTCCTTGACATGACAAAATATGAGTAGCCAGTGGGCGCCTGGCGGAAACTTTCCCATGAAGCAGGTTATCTCATAGATGCCTCTGGACCAGGATACTGGATAATGGCCACTGGATACTGGGCTAGGAGGACTACAAATCTGATCCAGGCTAGCAAAGGCTATGTACAGACGTAGCCTTAGTATTAAAAGGGTTACTGGCAGCATTGTCTCTCACTGGTCTGGGAGTATCATATTTCATACTTCATCGCCTGTCCTGTCAAGTGGTGGAATCCCATGATCCTCCCACCTTCTGACTGGGCCCGGGGCTACAACCCACTGAGGGTTGACTGTCCTTCCCCTTTCGTTTGCTGACCAATGACTGAATTATGGCTGAGAGGCTACGATCTTGCCAGGTTCTGAAGAAATGACATTTTAAGTCTCCCTTTAAGCTGAGAAAGTCTGAGGAAGTGGGTCTGGCCCATGAAAGCTCATCACCTAATAAACCATCTTGTTCGTCTTTAAAGTGCTACACAGTTCTGTCGTTTGTTTGTCTATAAGGCTGTGTCTAGACTGCAGGGTTTTTTCGAAAAATGTAGCCTTTTTTCGAAAAAACTTCACTTGCGTCTAGACTACAGCCGCGTTCTTTCGAAATTAAATCAAAAGAACGCGGCATTTCTTTCGACAGAGGTACTCCTCATTTCACGAGGAAGAATGCCTTTTTTCAAAAGTGCTCTTTCGAAAAAAGGCGTTCTTGAATGCAAACAGGGTTTTTTCGAAAGAGAGCATCCAGACTGCCTGGGTGCTCTCTTTCAAAAATGCGGCTTGCTTTTTCGAAAGTACTGCTTGCAGTCTAGACGATCTTTTTCGAAAGAGGCTTGCAGCATAGATGTAGCCTAAGAGAAGATGAGAAGGGAAAGAAGGGCTTGACATGGGTCTTCTAAAGTACAGATCTGTAAATGTTATGCCAAAACTTTTCATTGTAATACAAATAGTAGAAATCAAAGGTTTGCAGCACTTGAATACCTGCTGAAAGCACAATTTCGAAATTGCTAGTTCGAAATAAGCACTGTGTAGACGCTTATTTTGAAATAGGGAGTCTCCAGCCATTTCCAGAGTGCTGTGCTGGCTACCCTGGCCACACAGAGTGGAGGGTTTGAAAGGGTGCCTGTGGGAAGCTCACCATTGTAAACTCGCACCGTGTTCGGTCAGGCTGTGGACTACCCAAGAAAAAATACCAGTGGGTCCAAGAGCTGAGCAGGAGTCAAAGAGGAACTGGATATTTTCATGGGTAACCAGGAAACACAATTACAGTAGTGAGACCTGCATTTAAAAAAGTCTAGGAGCCCTCTGCAACACTTTCCGAAAAATCCTGAGAGAACAGAACAGAGCTGAGGAGCAAGAAAGAGGATTGTCATAGGGGTCATGGGTAATTTACACCCCTCACCTCTTTCAATGAACATGGCTGAAGTAATTGGTACACTCAGCTGTCTCTCAGTGCAGCCCCAGTGTTGGCACTGTTCACCCATTTGTGATACCAGCACCACCCTGACCCAGCTGCAGTCATTGTCTGTGGTAGCTCGTAACGTGCCAAATATCGAGCAACCCTCTGTTGGGGAGAGGATGAAGCTCATGAGAGAATGAGGAGAAGACTGGATGAGGCTGGGCATGTCTGGATTCAGTCAATGCTAGCCAGGCAATGCACTTCAGCTTCTCCTGAAGGGATTCCTGGGGGTCAGAGCGTATCTCTGGGAGCATTTTGTAGGGGAGCCACCTGGTGTGTTTCACTGTCCCATGGAGTGGCACCTAGACCACCGCACCAGACAAGACCAAGAGATTTTTATAGCCTGAGCTAAAAGCCTGGTGGCTTTATAGCTCAAGCTGTAGCAGCTCCTATACTAAGCTTCAGGGATCCTGGGTTCAAGTCTGTTTGGTGGTGGTTACACCTAGAACCCCTTCTTTATTGAATTTACACTTGTAAATCAGGAGTGAAGCCGCTGAAGGCAATGTTACTGAATTAAGTGTGGGACACTGGCCATGTGTTTACAGCTGTCACACTAAGAAGGGCCACTTTCAGGAGTGGAGGGCTTGAAAGGGTGCCTGTGGGAAGCTCACCATTGTAAACTCGCACCGTGTTCAGTTAGGCTGTGGACTACCCAAGAAAAAATACCAGTGGGTCCAAGAGCTGAGCAGGAGCCAAAGAGGGACTGGATATTTTCATGGGTAACCAGGAAACACAATTACAGTAGTGAGACCTGCATTTAAAAAAGTCTAGGAAGAGTTTTAAATCTTCCTCCTTGACATGACAAAATAGGAGTAACCAGTGGGCGCCTGGCGGAAACTTTCCCATGAAGCAGGTTATCTCATAGATGCCTCTGGACCAGGATACTGGATAATGGCCACTGGATACTGGGCTAGGAGGACTACAAATCTGATCCAGGCTAGCAAAGGCTATCTGCAGTGCCATGAATCCAAAACTATTATTTTAGTGATCTTCCCTGACCTCCTGGAGTGTCTTGAATTAGACTGAGAGCAGAAAGCTGCCTCATTCAATATCATCCACTATCCTTTTCTTTCTGCTTTCAGGAAGGAAAGTTCAAAATTACTTTGCTTGCCCACTACATTATGTCAGCTGTCAATGACACCACATTCATACATGCAGGAATCACCGGAATACCAGGGCAGGAATACGTCCATCTCTGGATCTCTATCGCCTTCTGCTTAACATATGCTATTTCAATAGTAGGGAATTCAGTCATTCTGTTCATGATAAAAACAGACCCAAGCCTCCATGAGCCCATGTACATTTTCCTTTCCATGTTGGCTCTCACAGATCTTGCTATATCGGTAGACACCATGCCAACGACACTGGGCGTATTCGTGTTTAAGTCCAGGGAGATCAACCTTGATTCCTGTTTGGCCCAGCTGTTCTTCATCCACTCTCTCCAATGCATTGAATCGTCTGTGCTCTTGTTGATGGCCTTAGACCGTGTCATCGCGATCCGTAACCCACTGAGATATGCTTCCATCTTAACCCCGCCGAGAATAGCCAAGATGGGACTTGTCTCTGTGCTGAGAGGGGTGACTGTAATATTTCCACTCCCCTTTCTCCTGCAACGGTTCCAATACTGTCGAGTTAGTCCCCTTACCCATTCCGCCTGCCTGCACCAGGAGATCATGAAGTTGGCTTGTTCAGATATCACAGTCAACAGTGTCTATGGCCTTTTTACTAAACTCTTAACAATTGGATTGGACTGGCTGCTCATCTTCCTCTCTTATGTGATGATCCTCAAAATGGTGCTGAGCATCGCATCCCATGTGGAAAGCCTCCGGGCTCTGAATACCTGCTTCTCTCACCTCTGCGCTGTCCTGCTCTTCTATGTACCAGAGATTGGCCTGTCTGTGATAAACAGATTTGCAAATAGCTCTTCTCCCTTGTTTCAGATTTTCCTTGGATACCTCTCTCTGCTGGCTCCATCCCTGTTGAACCCAATCGTGTACAGCATGAAAAGCAAACACCTTCAGGCAAGAATATTCAGGATGTTCAAGTGAAGGATCAGTCACATCTCCAGTGATGGGAGAGAGGCTGGGGAGGGAGGACAGTCTGCACTGCTTGAGCTCTGCCATATACTAAGTGCTGCTTTGCTTTGTAGCTCCCATTGGAGGATTCCTGGTTGCTGATTGGTCGGCTTCTCCAGAGCCACTCCAGCCTCCTGGAGGACTTTTCTATGGCTCTTTTCTGGGGCAAGTTGTGTCAGGACCATGTCATCACAATAATAATGAGTTGAAATCCTAAATACACTAACCTATGGAAGTTATAACTCCGGTCATCAGAAGAAGTAGGCTGTGCCCACGAAAGCTCATGATACCATCTACATGTTTCGTTAGTCTATAAAGTGCTACCAGACCATTTGTTGTTTTTTCTATAGAAGACAGACACTTGAACATAGGTATGGGGAGGAAATACAAACAAGGAAGAGGGGAAACTCAATTTAATATGCATTGGGTATGGTAATATGAGCATAACATATTATAAAAGTGGTGTCATGGGTAGTAAGCCTAGGGATGGTCTCAAAGGTGATGGCTAACAATCCAGGTTTTTCCACACTGGATGGAATGACTATGCACGTTCAGACGTACTCGTTATATTATCTCTACCTTATTGAGATACAGTGTGTGTGTCTCTGCAAAATGTATTAATAGATTCTATATTTGTAAATATGAAAAAATTCCTGTAATGTGAGTGTTACACGTAGGTACACCAGAGTTCCCAATACTATAATAGTTGTAAAACTTCTGGGTTTGATCTTGGGAAAAGAGCTTGTCAACCCTCAAAGTTATAACTGAGAATTTTGACTCATAGTCTATTCATCGGGCTGTACTGCCTAGCGCTGTTAATAGCACTGTGCTACTGCTATGAGACTGACAAGTATTCAGATGCTATAATAACTGTAGTCACAGCTAAGTGCATCAGAGAGATTTCAGTTCTGAAAATCTCATTCGGACAATTCAGGGCCCTGAACTTTTCCTTATTCAATCAGATGCTATAATAACTGTAGTTATAGCTAAGTGCATTAGAGAGATTTCAGATCTGAAAATCTCATTCATCCACTTCAGGGCCCTGAACTTTTCCTTATTCATCCTGGGGATGAGCCCTGTCAGTACAAAATCAGTGTACAGACTCCTCCAAGATACAGGACCTGGTCACGATGGGGAACTTCAACTATCCAGACATTACTGTCAGTACAAAATCATTGTACAGACTCCTGCAAGGTACAGGACCTGGTCATGATGGGGAACTTCAACTATCCAGACATCTGCTGGGAAAATAACACAGCAGGGTACAGATATTCCAACAGATTCTTGGAATGTACTGGAGATAATTGTTTTATGTCAAAAGTTAGAGAAAGCTATTTGGGAGAGGCTGTTTTAGATTTGATTTTAACAAATAGGGAGGACCTGGGTAAGAATTTAAAAGTGGAAGGTTGCTTGGATGAAAGTAATCATGAAATGGTAGAGTTCTTGATCCCAAAGATGGGAAGGGGGGGAGAACAGCAAAATAAAGAGAATTGACCCAAAAGAAGGCAGTTTTAAGCACTTGGCTGGTAATATGCCATGAGAAAGAAGTCTAAGAGGAAAAACGAGTGACGACACTTGGTAGTTTCTCAAAGGGACATTATTAAGGCCACAAGATGAAACTATTCTACTGAATAGGAAAAATTGGAGGTATGGCAAGAAATCACTCTGGCTTAACCAGAAGATGTCGAATGATATGAAAATGTAAACAGAGTCCTGTGTGCATATAAACAAATAAAACAGATATTTAGGGGCAAATTTAGAAATGCCAAGGCAGAAAACAAGATCAAACTCACTAGAGACAGAAAGGGTAACAGAAAAAAAATCCACAAATGAATCAGAAACACGAGAAAGACTAAGGAGAGTATAGGCCTGTTACTCAATGATGGGGAGAAACAATAACAGAGGTCTAAGTTGGATATAAGGAAAAACTGTTTCACTAGGCGGGTGGGGAAGTACTGGAATGGGTTCCCTAGGGAGGAGGTGGAATCTCCATCCCTAGAGGTTTTTAAGTCTCTGCTTGACAAAGCTCTGGCTGGGATGATTGAGTTGGGATTAGTCCTGCTTTGGGCAGGGAGCTGGACTTGATGACCTCCTGAGGTCTCTTCCAGCTCTGTGATTCTATGATTCTATGAAAATGCAGGAATGGCAGAGATGCGTAATGAACGCTTTGTTTCAGTTTTCACCAAGAAGGTTGGCAGCAAATGGACACCTGAGAGAGTGAAAATGGGGTAGGTTCAGAAGCTAAAATTGTGAACGTTCAAGAACAAATGATGTCAAAGCAACCTGAGAGCTTTCATTGTCAGGGTAACAAGCCTTGTAGATAGGGAGAGCGCTGTAGTTGTGTTATATCAACACTTTAGTAAGACTTAATAAAGTCTCGCATGACCTTCTCATTAACAAACTAGGGAAATACAAGGTAGATGGAGCTACTATAAGGTGGTCCATAACTGATTGGATAGCCATACCCAGAGACGTTATCAGTGGATCATAGTTATGCTGGAAGGACATAATGAGTGGTGTTCTTCAGGGATCAGTTCTAGGTCTGGTTCTGTTCCATATCTATATCAGTGATATGGACAATGAATTAAGGAGTATGCTTATAAAGTCTGTAGATAATATGAAACTGGGTGGGAATGTGAGTGCTTTGGAAGATAGGGTTACAATTCATAGTATCAGGAGAACTAGAGAAATTGTCTGAAGGAAATGGGATGAAATTCACTAAGGACAAATGCCAAGTACTCAACGTAGGAAGGAACAATCAGTTACATGCATAAAAAAGGAGAAATGACTGCCTAGGAATGAGTATTGCAGGAAGAGTTCTAGGCGTTATGGTGGACTACAAGCTATGTATGAGTCTACAGCATAACACCTGTCAGGGCTGGTGCTTGGTCCTGCCATGAGGGCCTGGCACTGGACTTGATGACCTCTCAAGGTTCCTTCCAGTCCTGTGATATTATGATACTATAATTTACACAGTGCCCTTTGATGGGGGAATTGTGGAACTCTCCGTCAGCTCGGCAGTAGCATGGGGAATCCATATATGCTTTTTCAAAGAGCGAAGGATCTGGCTGAACAGAGCCCTGCCATTGCCACTTGGTATGATCCTGACCTTCATCCCCTCCATCAGCACTGGGAACCACTCTCACAGTGAGATTCTACCCAGCATTCTAATGTTCATCACTTCAAAATATATGGGCAACGGGATCTGGGAACGCCAATGTTTTGGGGTAAAGCCACAAAATGTCTCCCTGCACACTTTTATTGAACTCACAAATAACTCTACTAACCCCAAGGTAAAGGAGTTGCTCTTCAAACTCCCACAAGACTGTGACATCCTATCTTGTATCTTATAGCTTTTCCCACCCGCATTCTCCACCAAATATAGGTAGCTATAGAGGTTTCCCTATTGGTTAAGGGAGCAGATTCTGGACACTGTGTTGGTATATAACTCTCTAAATATTTGTATTGATTACCATTTAAGCCCCACCCACTCCACATACACACCCCAAATATACAACAACAGAGTTTAAAGATAAGAATGAAGTCCCGATAGCCACTTTCACTTCACTCCAATCATAAGGCATGAGGAACCAGCATTGCACATGTCTTCAAAGTCAGGGTTCTTGTTTAATGCCTGATGCCAAATGTTAGATATGTGACATCATCGGCTCTTTGTCGTTGTTTACTAAATCTTTTGCCAATAACTCCAGGAAAACAGTTCTGGGCAGGTTGTCGCAATCCAAGAAGTTTCATTTCCCCCATTCTTACATTCCAACATAGCCCATGTTACTCCCTTCTCTGCTAATTCTTCATATCCCTCATGGATATAACAAAGATTTTTTGTACAAAAAGGACTTGATGACTCTTGACCTTAAATCCCCATATCAGTTGTCAACATGCAACTCATTTCCCCTTGTCCAGTATACTGAATTTACACAAGGACTCAGTTGCCTACATCATATTGCAACGTATGTTGTATAAATGCGCGCGCGCGCACACACACACACACACACACACACACACACTGACATCCTATTTTTTCTTGAGTGGCTTAGGTAAAGCACTCAAGTAGCTCACATCCTTGGTCATAACAGGCCTTGGAGGGCCTAGCAGTGCCACCAGATGAGTAGAGCACCTGAAGAGTTAGGGGGCTCAGCCATTCCTAAAGCTCCCAGCCTGCACCCTGGTGACATGACAGCCAATAGCAGAGGTTTTAGAACAAAATCACAAACTACACAAGAGGCCACACACTAGGACAAGATGGGATTCACCATTCCAAAGGAACTCATATATCAAATTGCAGAAGTACAAGTTGAACCTCTCTAGTCTAGAACTCTTTGATCTGGAAACATCTGTCCTCTGGAATGATTTGAGTTAGCTGGATGTCCACTTTTCATGGGTGTGGCCAAGTTTCCCGCAGTCCCATAAAGTTTATTTACAGCCACCAGTCCTGGCTCTCAGTGTTCTGTGCTGTTACGTAGCTCTAATTTACCCCTCAATTGCTTCTAAGAGCCCAGTGAGCAGAGAAAGTATTGATAATGTTGCTAGACAATGTTCATCTCTTGTAGTGTGGAAAATTCTCTGGTTCAGAACTGGTCAGGTCCCAAGGATTAGAGAGATTCAAACTGTAGTAACTGTGGCATGTCATATAGCACTGAACTCACCCAGTGTGCCAGATGACTGGTCAACAGGGAATGTGATGTTAATTTTTATGAAATAGTCCATAGATCGTCTCAGCAATTATAGGCCAGGGATTCTAGCTTCAGAACCAAACAAATTGCTTGATATGACCATAGGATACATCTAGACTGCATCCCTGTGTCTACAGAGGGATGCAAATCAAGCACATCGAAAATGCTAATGAAGCTGGGATTTAAATAGCCTGTGCTTCATTAGCATAAACATGGCTACTGCTTTTTTCAAAATGGAGTTTTTTCGAAAAAAAAACAACCCAGCAGTCTAGATGCAGAGCTATTAAAAATAAATCCTTTTTCAACAGACCTTCTATTCCTCAAAAAATGAGGCTTACAGTATCTGTCAAAAAGAGTTTATTTTCTGCAGCTCCATGTCTAGACTGCCAGGTTTTTGTTGCTCATCTTCCTCTCCTATATGATGATCCTCAAAACTGTGCTGAGTGTTGCGTCCCACGCAGAGACCTTCAGAGCCCTGAACACCTGCGTCTCCCACCTCTGCGCTGTCCTGCTCTTCTATGTGCCAGACATTGGCCTGACCATTATACACCTCCAGAATGATCAGATACATCCATGAATGTTTACTTATTGCACACAATCTGCCCCTGATTTTAGTAAAATAACTGTGACTAAATCTTATTCTTAGGCATGACTTATCTGGTCTGCTCTCATTTCTGAGCTGTGCTGCAAGCCAAGACAGACACACCCCAGAGGAATGGTCATTGTAGACACACCCATTGATGGTCATTTTGGGTCATACTACTGGTATATCAGTCCTCCAGCAGGGGCCAATACCAAATGCTTCAAAGGGAATGAACAGAAGAAATAATCATTAAGTGATCCTTCTCCTGTTACTCATTCCCATCTTCTGGCAAAGAAAGGCTGGGGGCACTTCAAAGCATGGTTTTGCATTTCTGCCCAGCCTGGCTACTAGCTCCTGATGGATCTATCATACATGAAAATATCTATTATTCTTTTGAAACCTATTATAATTTTAGACTTCACAACATCCTCTAGCAAGGAGTTCTATAGGTTGACTGCACTTTGTGTGAAGAAACACTTCTTTTTGGTCATTTAAAAACAGCTGCCTATAAATTTCATAATTCTCATTATTTTGTTAAGAAAAAGGTCAATTCAATTTTTTTTTTACTTTCTCTACACCCTTCATAATTTTATAGAGCTCCACTGTATCCCACCCCTCTTCATCATCTCTTTTCCAAACTGAGAAGCCTCTAATCATTTTTATTCTCTTTTCTTAACCTTTCCAACTTTTTTGTTAGATCTGTGCCCAATATTCAAGCTGTGGGCTCAGTGAGGTCTTGGAGGTTGGAGGTAGAGGGACATGGTACATAGTGGGTGGGGAGGCCCTAGGTAACAAAGGATAGATTATAAGAAGGAGGAGCTTAGCTAGTGGTGGCTGGTGAGAATCCCAGGGGAAGGGAGATGGAGGGACTCAGGGAGCATCGAGCAGTGGGAACACAAAGGAACACGGGTAGAGGTGAGGAGGGACTCAGCACGATACCAAAATAGCATGACTGTTATTTCAAAAATTATTTCAAAATAGCGGACGCGTCCCTTGGGCATGGAGTAGCTATTTGAGGATACCTCTGTGCTTGTCTTTTTGTTTGCTTACCAAAATGTGACTGAGGAGCTGTAATCTTGCCAGAGTCTGAAGAGATCTAGATGAGAGAGGCTAGATTTTATGCCCCACTTTAATCTAAGAAATTCTCGGAGATAAGATGGGAAAGAAGCGGTTGAAATGTTTGTAATATTTTTATACATGCCAAAAGACAGTGGTATAATGGTTGGGATCGTAAAAGAAAGGATCAGTGGTAACATTGCCATTTAAAAGCTATTGCTTTAGAAAATATTTCAGAAGGGCTCGAAACACTGCTTGCGGTGAAGTTTGACTGTTGCATCTTTGTTCAGTGACCAGTTGTATGATGCTGGCTCCTTGTAACTGACCAGAAACTTTTACTAACCTATACCTGTAGTGTCACCAAAACATGAACTGTGCAAGATTTTCCAAAAAATCCTCGGAGAACAGAAGCATTGCTCACTGTTTCAGCAAAGACCAGAGCTGAGATACAGGAAAGGGGATTATCATAGTGATTGTAAGTAACTTATGCTCATCACCACTTTCACCAACATGGCTGAAGTAATTTGCACACTCAGCTGTGTCTTCATGCAGCACCAGTGTTTGCATGGTTCACTCATTTGTGATGCCTACCCTGCCTTGACCCAGCTGAAGTCATTGTCTGTGTTAGCTTGCCACTTGCCAAATAACTAGCAACCCTGCCTTGGGGGTAAGATGCAGATGCCGTGAGGATGAAGGGAAGCCTGTAGAATGATTCACATCTCTGAATTCAGGCCAGAATGTTGCTGGCCAGGCAACATACTTCAGCTTCTCTTAGGGTACGTCTAGACTACAGGCTTTTGTCGACAGAGACTTTGTTGACAGATACTGTCGACAAAGCGCATCTAGACTGCATCCAGTTCTGTAGACAAAGCAAGCCGCTTTGTCGACATGAGAGTGTAGACACAAAGGACAGTGTAGATGCAATAACGCCTTCTGTCGACAGAACTCTGTCGACAAAAGGGGTTATTCCTTGTAGAATGAGGTTTACCGCCGTCAACAAAACTGCCGAGTTCTGTCGACGTTATGTCAACAGAATTCGGCAGTAGTGTAGACGCAGGTATAGTTTTGTTGACAAAACCCTGTAGTCTAGACACACCCTTAGAGGGATTCTTGGGGGTCACTGTGATCATTTGGTAAGGGAAAGTTAATAGAGCCCATTTTCTATTAAATTTACACTTGTACATTTGGAGGGACACCGCCAAAAGCAATCTTAGGCTATGTCTACACTGCCAGTTTTTGGAGCAGAAAACATGCTAATGAGGGACTCATTTGCATGTGTCATGATCTAATTTGCATATTTTCTTCCAATCCATTTTTGTGCTAGGGGGTTTTGTGCAAAATCAAGCAGTGTGGATGTTTTCTTTTTGCATAAAACCCCCTTTTTGTGCCTTTTATGAGGCATAAGGATCTTGAGGAAAAAGGGGTTTTTGCACAAAAAGAAAATGTCCACACTGCTTGTTTTTGCACAAAACCCCCTAGCACTAAAACAGATCGACAGAAAATATGCAAATGAGATCGTGACTCATACAAATGAGCCCCTCATTTGCATATTTTCTGCCGCAAAAACTGGCAGAGTAGGTGTAGCCTTACAGAATGAAGCACTTGGCCCTAAAAACGTATCTCATGTGTTGCAAAGAGGTAGTGGCATAATTTGCATTCTCAGCTGCACAAGACATAAAAATTTTACTCTATGTTTTAGAAAAATACGTGTCTGCCTATCTGTATGTTCACCTGTGGGTCCACTTGTTCAATAATTCCTCCTAATTAATCAGAGCTGGGGCCATCACATTTCCTCTTGTCAAAACTTAAAAGAAGGGGAAGGATTGATTGTGCCTGTAACCTGAGTGTTTCTCATAAAATGGAAAGAGAGGGGTCTGGTAGGAGGGAGTTGTACTGCAGAATGACCACAGGGGGCAGCAAAGGACCAAAGATGGGGAAATGGGACACTTATAATCCTATTGGTCCAGCAGGGGACAGGAGTGGTGGAAAGGACAGCTATCTACTTTATATTTCAAAGAGTTTGTCTGTCTGTGTGTCTGTCTGTCCTCCCGCTGGTGGATGGGCATCCCTCCCCATCCTGTGCCCATTGCAGCTGCAACAGCCATGGATAGGTGCTTCTCCTCTGCCCCCAACCTGCTCCAGTGAAAGAGAGCTGAGGTTGTCCTCTGTCCCCAGGGCAGCCTGCATACTGAACCCCACATCCGTAACCTCACCCGCGAGCAATGATTGAAATGAAGAACAAAAGTGATTGAAGTTAACAGCTGAAGCAATGCTGGTTAAATCTTCTAGTATATATACGTATAATCAGGCAATTAAAAGTGTGTGCATATTGCTTAAATGCAGGACAGATAAAGGATTGTTTTCCCATGCCCTGGCCATGTGTTTGTATGTATCACACTAAAAGGGGCCCCGTGCAGGTGTAAAAGGCCAGAAAGGGTGCCAATGCAAAGTTCACCATTGTAAATTCGCATCGTGTTCCGATACCCAAGAAAAGATATCAGTGGGTCTGAAGAGCTTAGCAGGAGTCAAATAGGCACTGGATGTTGATAAGGATAAACAGGAAACCCAATTAAAGTGGCAAGGACTGCATTATAAAAGGAGAGAAAGCCTCTAACCTTTCCTGAATAACATGACAAAATAGGTGTAGCCAGTGGGTGCTTGGGGGAAACTTTCCCTTTGGAGCAGGTTGTCTCCTAGCTGCCTCTGGACCTGGCCACTGGATATTAGCCACTGGACATTGTGCTAGAAGGGCTACAGATAGGACCAAGCCTGGCAGTGCCTGTCTTCCTATCAATGGTGTAAATCTGAGACTAGGATTTCGCTGATCTTCTGAGACCAAGAGTCTCTAGCATTAACCTGAAAGGGAGGGATAGCTTAGTGGTTTGAGCATTAGCCTACTAACTGCAAGGTTGTGAGCTCAATCCTTGAGGGGGGCCATAATAGGGATCTGGGATAAACCTGCCAAGGATGGTACTTAGTCCAGCTGAGAAGGCAGCAGACTGGACTCAATGACCTCTCAAGGTCCCTTCCAGCTCTATGAAACCGGTGTATCTCCATATATTAAAGCTACCTCTTTAAATATCATCTTTTCTCCTTTCAGAAGGAAAAGTTCAAAACCACTTGGACCTACCAAGAGTATTATGTCAGTGGCCAATGACACCAAATTTACATATGCTGTGTTCCTTCTCACTGGGATACCAGGAGAGGAGGATGTTCATCTTTGGATCGCTATCCCCTTCTGCTTAATGTATGTTGTTTCAGTAATAGGCAATTCAGTCATTCTGTTCATTATAAAAACAGACCCAAGTCTCCATGAGCCCATGTACATTTTCCTTTCCATGTTGGCTGTCACAGACCTTGGCGTATCGATATCCACCATACCAACGGCATTGGGCTTGTTCTTTTTTAACTCTGGAGATATCAGCCTCAATGCCTGTTTTGCCCAGTTGTTTTTCATCCATGCACTTCAATGCCTTGAATCTGCCATTCTCTTGCTGATGGCTTTTGACCGATTCATCGCGATCCATGATCCGCTGAGATACGCCTCCATCTTAACGCTGCCGAGAATAGCCAAGATGGGACTGGTGTGTGTGCTAAGAGGGCTGGTTGTCATACTCCCACTCCCCCTTCTCCTGAAACGGTTCCAATACTGTCGAGCCAATGTCCTCTCCCATTCCTACTGCCTACACCAGGAGGTCATGAAGTTGGCTTGTGCAGACATCACCGTCAATAGTGTCTTTGGCTTGTTTACTAAACTGTTAACGATTGGGTTGGACTCGCTGCTCATCTTCCTCTCCTATATGATGATCCTCAAAACTGTGCTGAGTGTTGCATCCCACGCAGAGACCTTCAGAGCCCTGAACACCTGTGTCTCCCACCTCTGTGCTGTCCTGCTCTTCTATGTGCCAGACATTGGCCTGGCCATTTTACACCGATTCGGGGACAGCTCTTCTCATCTGCTTAAGATTCTCTTGGGCCACGTGTACCTGTTGGTCCCGCCCCTGATGAACCCGATCGTGTACAGTGTGCAAAGCAAATCCCTTCGGGCAAGAATAATTAGGATGTTCATCAAGTGAAGGGTCCCTGTATCACCCATCTCTGGTGGGTGTACCCAAAAGTGGTACAAAGGGGGCCATGTGAGGTGTCAAATAGAAGCTTACTTTCTTCTGATTCCATATATGCTATTCATGTAATTGTATAATGTCTGTGTGTGAAGATATAAGCATGTAATTTGTATGGATACTGAATGTTTCTTGGTATGTGGTGGAGCCATGGGCAAAGCTTGGCCTATGGACATGTCAATGAGCAAGTCACTATAGAACAATAGCCCTCTAGGCCAAGGATACACCTCACAAATGGTGACCTAAGGGCTGATACCTAAGGGCTACCAACAGGGAATACAGGGATAAGCCGCTGGCCAGGTGACATGCTGCAGCCAAGAAGAGAGGGGAAAGAAGGTATATAGAGGCCTCCTCCATCGGATCATCAGATCTGCGCCTGACGCCAGATGCAGCCTCTCAGGGAATCATGAGCTGGGAAGAACTGTGGACCCATCCTGACATAGGATGTGCAACAAGGACTTTTAAGCCAGTAGCTATAACAACTCTGCTGCGAGTCTGCATCGAGAACTGGGAGATTCGATGCATGTAATGTATGATACCTTAACAACCTTACTCTCATGCTCTTCTTTCTTGTAGTAATAAACCTTTAGGCTGTGTCTACACTGGCCAGTTATTCCAGAAAATCAGCCGCTTTTCCGGAATAACTTGCCAGTTGTCTACACTGGCCGCGTTTTTTTTTCG